TAAAAGGAAGCTGCCTCGTTCTGCAAACAACTGGAGAATGGGCCTCTAACAGACAAATGTGAACAGTGGGTCTGCAGCAGCTTCAGTACGTGATGCATAGGAACTACCGTGTTTCCCCGAAAATAAGACAGGGCCTTATATTTATTTTTCCTCAAGAAGACACCCTAGGGCTTATTTTCAGGGGATGTGTTATTTTTTTTTTAAGTACGGTACAACAATCTGCATTTATTCAAATAGAGTTAAGTCGTCTTCTTCTGGAACATCATCATCACTCTCCCAACCCCGAATTCCATCCTGAATTTCTTGCGACTCTTATTTCCTTTAGAACCATTGGCCCCAGTCTCTCATGTCGAGCAATAGAGCTCTCATGGGGCAGATGAGAAGGGCTCTCGTCTTCTTTACTGCTCTGCAAGGAAATGCATGGGTTTTGCAGATGTGCTGCACAGCCACGCCTGTCACTAGGTCTTATTTTAGGAGTAGAGCTTCTATTATGCAAATGCTTAGAAATCCTGCTAGGGCTTATTTTACGGGCAGGTCTTATTTTCCGGGAAAGACTGTAGGTAAAACGATTTAAATATCTCGGTAGAGTTCCCGAATGTAATCACTGTTCTAACTGAGGTGTCGAAAAATGCTGAGCACTGTTTCCTACTACTTTGTGCCTGGGTCAGGTTAACTGGGTTTCTGGCTTGGCTACTTAGGAGGCCTGGCCTGGGACTCCTCTCAAAGCAAACGACTCAGGCTACTCTGCTGGGGATACATACGGGAAAGGACCTCCTGGTGCCTAATGCCTTGTCCCCTCAGCGAGGTCCTTACCGTGCCAAGTAGCCTAAGATGTGGGCCCGAATCACCATGGCCGCGCGGGTGACCTCCTCTTCCCGCTGTTTCTCCAGTTTCTGCTCCAAGGATTCTCGAAGGAAGACCTGCCCAGGAGGGAGTCACATGTCAGAAGCTAAGAACGTGGCTGGTAGAAGGAAGGCATTTCTGAGTCAGAGATATCTTTTGGGGGCAAGGCTTTGTTCTCTCCTTAAGTTTGCTCCAAACTCACATAACTATGCTTTCTAGAATAGTGCTTTTTAAACGTCCTGTCTGCCATATGCTAATGTAGCTGCAAAATCCGATAAAGATACATTACAAGATAGGCCAGGCACAGTGGCTCACGCCTGTAATCCTACCATTCTGGGAGGCCGAGGCGGGTGGATTGCTCCAGGTCAGGAGTTCGAAACCAGCCTGAGCAAGAGCGAGACCCCATCTCTACTATAAATAAAAAGAAATTAATTGGCCAACTAATATATGTAGAAAAAATTAGCCGGGCATGGTGGCGCATGCTTGTAGTCCCAGCCACTCGGGAGGCTGAGGCAGCAGTATTGCTTGAGCCCAGGAGTTTGAGGTTGCTGTGAGCTAGGCTGATGCCATGGCACTCACTCTAGCCTGGGCAACAGAGTGAGACTCTGTCTCAAAAATAAAATTAAAAAAAAAAAAAAAAAAAAGGACATTACGGAATGTGGGCTGAGAGAAGGCGGCAGGAGGTGACAGAGCTGTGCCTCACTGTGAACACGTGTTACTGCAGGATTCAGACCTGACTTCCCACGAACCCACTCCTGTGCCTAATGACCCCACCGGGGCAGCCTGGAAAAGCCCAATACTCCGCTGTCTGCACAGACGTGATCTGCACTTAAAATCAAATACATAAAAGACTTTCCTGTCCTCATTTAACTTTCCACTTTCCAATGAATAATTTTCTGAAGTTGCTGATGCTGGCTGATTAGAAACATTTTTCACTTTTGAGTCTCATGACTTCAAGCATCTCAAATTTATTTTACCAGTTTTCTAAATATTTGTGGTCACTGAGTCTTGAGTAGAGTATGGCTACAGGTTATCTCCAAGTAAGTTTTCAGACTTATTATCTGGGTTGCCCAAGAAAACCAGCTGCCTCTAACTATAACAATTTTCTGAAGACATCACTTAATTTTTAATAAAAATAATAGGCTGTCAATAGTCCAAAGCTTTGGGATGGCAGCAAAAAGGGTTGTGTTGGATTCAAAGACCAGTCCTGTTTCTCTCACTGCTGGGAGTAGGAGAGGCTACTATAGTTAACATTGGTAGAAGACAAATGATTCTTTCAAAAAACACCTCCAGACTGTCAGTCTGCTTCCAATTTAGCTAATTTATCTGTTGGCAATTGCTGGATTGAGGAATTGAAAGTGACACGTTAACCCGTAAAAAGGCTCTCAAACAGGTTGTTCCATATTCACACCATTTTCTTCCTGCAAAAACATACAATCCCATTTCCAATGGGCTACTTCTGTGTCCAGCTGGCCACCTTCCAAATGAAAGCCACATGTCTATGAGTGTAATCACAAAAAGCAAGTCACTCGCAGATTAAGTTTTGCTTCCCGGTTCCCTAATAATTCAATCCACTGGGCTAAATTCTCAGGACTCGCTGAATACCTCCTCCAGGCTACTGTCGTAAGGAACCGGCGCAGCTCTGTGACCATGGGCATAAATGATCAAGCCACCCAGAGCACCACCCCCACGGAGCCACACCCAGGCACCAGCGACATACTTGGCCGTCCGAACTTCTAAGGTGCCCTTGAGCTTCTCCTCGCTGTCGTTCTCAAAGTACATCAGCTTGGACTGGCGGAGGACAAACCAGCGCCTCTTCCAGTTTCTCCTGGACAGCGTGGAGGAGCCGCCGCCTTTTTTGTGAAGCCACCCTTGCTTGAGGGCCTCTTGCTTGGAGCGGAACCACAAGAAGGTTTCGTCCTTGAGGACGCACCAGCGGCGCTTCCAGGAGTTCATCAGGCCACCTGTTTCCCCCAAAGTTGGGTAGAGAGAGGTTTAAGAAAAGTCAATCCAGTCAGATGACAACAATATCCAGAGCAGGTCCTAAGGCCCATCTTTAACTTTCCCCGGCTGAAGCATCACTCAGAGACGCCCCAGTGAAGGATGCACCCCGAGCTCATGTTCAGGGTGCACCGGACAGATAATCATGCCAGGCTGGCTGATCACACAGAATATTGTCCCTTCCTTATACCCAAGGCAGCTCCTACTCAGTTAGCTGAGACATTTTTGTAAGGAGCTAAAACAGAAAAGAGGCAAGTAAAGAATTGACACTCTGGGAGGCCGAGGCAGGCGGATTGCTCAAGGTCAGGAGTTCAAAACCAGCCTGAGCGAGACCCTGTCTCTACTAAAAATAGAAAGAAATTAATTGACCAACTAAAAATATACATACAAAAAATTAACCGGGCATGGTGGCACATGCCTGTAGTCCCAGCTACTCGGGAGGCTGGGGCAGGAGAATCACTTGAGCCCAGGAGTTTGAGGTTGCTGTGAGCTAGGCTGATGCCACGGCACTCACTCTAGCCTAGGCAACAGAGTGAGACTCTGTTTCTTAAAAACAAAACAAAACAAAAAAAAAAACTGACACGCTAACCCAGGAATGAGTCAGTCATTTCCATATGTACAAATCATGCATACTTCCAAATGCCCCAGGGAGGGGAAATTATTTTAAAATGCTGTCAAAGTTTATGTTTCCTTCCTATTTGGATCAATGTGGGAACAAGAATTATCAGTGATTCCAGTGTTTAGCAATAAAGCCTAACTTATATAGGAAAAGAAAACACAGCTTTTTGGATAAACACATCTTTTTAAAGAAAAACATCAGCCGGTGGTGATGTTTAAAGAAAAACATCAGAGGTGGCTCATACCTGTAATCCTAGCACTATGGGAGGCTAAGGCAGGAGGATCACTCAAGGTCAGGAGTTCGAGACCAGCCTGAGCAAGAGCGAGGCCCAGTCTCTACTAAAACTAGAAATAAATTATCTGGACAACTAAAAATATATAAAGAAAAACTTAGCCGGGCATGGTGGCGCATGCCTGTAGCCCCAGCTACTCGGGAGGCTGAGGCAGAAGGATTGCTTGAACCCAGGAGTTTGAGGTTGCTGTGAGCTAGGCTGACATCAAGGCACTCTAGCCCGGGCTACAGAGTGAGACTCTGTCTCAAAAAAAAAAAAAAACATCATTATCAGAAAATGCTTTATAGGTATAAAGTTTAAGATTGAGATTATGGGAAAAAAAGCAACAGTCTAAACTGCATTGTGATTGGATTAAAAAATAGAAAATTTAGCTGCAATTTATGTGGTGGAAAACTTCTTTCAGTTGAGAGAAATTAGACAGGAATACAGATGTTATAGGATAAAAAATATTTCTATATTCTAAGTGGCCCAGCACGGAGCTGAGTGGTCGGTAACTTTCTCGGTCCCTGTCACTCAGCTCAGGGAAACAACATCTCAGTTTTCCATTGCTCTCTCCCTAACCTGGGCTCAGGGGCGGCTGCAGTCCTACCTTTCATGTACAGAAAGCTGTGGAAGTACGGCAGCGTGACACAGCTGTACACAGAGTCGCGCCGGTAAGAAAGCTCATCGTCCGTATCAAACCTCGAATCAAAGTCCTCTTCGCTATCTTCAAACTGGACAAGAGAGTAAGAACCAACAGTGAGCAAAAAGGATAGGAGGCAAATAATGAGACACCCAGCATATATCACCATTGAAAAAACAAACATAACTGAAAAGAAGCAATATTTCCAATCAGTAACGACACTATAGAGTGTGGCAGTCAAAGGAATTCACAATTACAAAATACCAACCTTTAAGGTCAAATGCTCAGTTGAACTGATACATAAAACACAAGATGCACTTTAATCCAAAGGCTATCTATCCTAAAATACACACTGCTCTTTAAGGCTATAATTTTAATCAAACCATGCAAGAGTTCATCTCTTTTGAACTACTATGCTAAAAACATTTCCAAGTCTTTGAAAGACAAGAGAGCATTCAACGTACGACCAAAGGGAAAAAAATAAAAGTAAATGAACAATAAATAAATCCAGAAACTGGAAAGAGGGTATTTAAGCCCTAAAGATCCCGAACCTGCCACACTGGGAAGCCAAAGGCTCTAGGTAAGGAGCTGACAGGGTCAGGCCATGGACACAATTCAGTCCTGGGCTTTGTGCTCAATGGGCAAGTTCCACTCACGAATGCGACAGCTTTTGGAAAGAGAAAGGTTATTATCTTAAGATTATCTCCAAGACCACGACTTTGAAACATTTGTACACCCCAGGGCGGATGTCTTAACTCCCCGGGGGTGCAACAGGCGTAGGGAAGACTGACCCCACGTCCCAACCGGGACCCTCAAGGGTACTCACCGAGGACTGCGCGCCCTCGGAGCTGAACCGGTAGGCGCCCGAACTGTTGTAGGTCCCCACGGAGCAGCGGTAGTCAGGGGACCACTGGCTTCCGTAGGAGTTGGAGAAGGTCACGCTGCTGCCAGAGGTGATGGCGCCGTCCTCGTAGTCGTCCTGGTCGTAGTCGTAGTCGCCGTCGGGGGAGGGGAGGTCGCCGGCGCCCTGGGGCAGGCAGTAGGTGGACTCCCCGCCGCTGGACGAGTCGTGCAGGCTGGCCGAGTCATGCGCCGCCGGGGCCGCGAGCACCGTGCCGTCCGCGCTGGGGCTGGCGGCCACCACTGTGTCGTTCATGTACGGGTCCTCCTCGGACGAGTCGTCGCTGGTCCGGATGCCGCTGGTGCGCTGGTCCGAGTGGCCGTGCTCGCTGGGGTTGGGGGAGTCCTTGAAGGCGTCGTCGTCGGCCTCGAAGCCCTCGTCCACCTCCTCCTCCTCCGGGTAGGGCTGGCTGAAGTTGAAGGTGGGCTTGTCCCCGCACGCGCTGCCGGCCAGCTTGCCCAGCGCGCCCGAAAACTCGCTGCCCACCGACAGTGAGCGCTCGATGTTGCGCACGCACTCGTCGATCTCGTCGAAGTTGAGGGACTCGAGGAACTCCTGGGCGGCGCGGCACGCGTCCTCCTCCAGCCGGCGGAGCTCCTGGTCCCGCAGCTGCTGCAGCTTCTGCAGGGAGGCCTCGGTCAGCGACAGCTCCTGCCGCTCCTTCATGCGCTGCAGGTCCTCGATCTCCTTCTCCAGGCGCAGGATCTCTTCCACCTGCTTGTTCTCCTTCTGCTTCTCCAGCTCGCGGGTCAGTTCCGCTTCCTTCCGCCTCCTCTGCAAGGCTTCCAGCTCTTGCTGCTTTCTGGCTGCTTCCTCCTGCGTCCAAAAGGGAAGGCAGATTTGGAACGCTTCATGACAAAAATGCAACGAGCATCGTTCCCCCAGGCCACCTTTGCAACCGGGATGAGATGGGGCTGCTATGAGCTGAACTGTGTCCCCTGACACTCACAGGTTGAGGTCCTAACCCCCCCCACCCCACCCCCCGTACCCCAGAATGTGGCTGTATTTGAAGACAGGGCCTTTAATGAGGTGATTAAATGAAGCCATTAGCGTGGGCCCTAATCCAAGCTAACTGGTGTCCTTATGAAAAGAGGTTAGGACACAGACACCAGGGACGCATGTGCACAGAAGACAGACCATGGAAGGACCCAGTGAGAAGGTGGTCTCCTGCAAGCTAAGGAGAGGGGCCTCAGAAGAAGCCAAACCTGAGGACACCGTGATTGTGGACTTCCGTCCTCCAGACTACGAGAAACTCAGTTTCCATCGTTTAATCCACCCAGTCTGTGGTATTCGGTTATGGCAGGCCTAGCAAACTAACACACTGGTTATACTGGCTTAGAGAAATTATGCTATTGTGATTCACACTAAAATCTTAGACATTCACAAGCTTTACCCAATTGCAATGGATCAGAAATTCCACCATAAACATTTCCTCTCCTAGAGTCCATGCATTTGAAGCGGGAATGAAGCAGATAACTGAGAGGCCAAGTTGTCACAGCATTCATTACCTGCTGGGCGCGGAGCTCCGCTTCTCTTTGCAATCTCTCTCTTTCTCTAAAAATAGTAAAGAAAAAAAAAGTGAGTATCAATAATAACAATAATCCTAGAACCACTTTTCAGAGAGATCTAACCTCTTTCTTAATTATTACTTTTTTTAGAGACAGGGTCTCACTCTCACCTGGGCTGGAGTGCAATGGTGCAATCTTAGCTCACTGTAGGCTCAAATTCCTGGACTCACACAATCCTCCCTCCTCAGCTTCCCTAGTAGGACTACAGGCGCATGCCACCACACCTTGCTAAATTTTAAAATTTGTTTATAGAGACGGGGTCTTGCTATATTGCCCAGGCTGGTCTCCAACCCCAGCCTCAAGTGATCCTGCTGCCTCAGCCTACCAAAGTGCTGGAATTACAGGCATGAGCCACCACACCTGGCCAGATCTAACTTTTTAAAACAGCTCTGCTAAAGACAGAAACCATGAAGGTCTAGAGCCTCTTCCTGGGCTTATTTTAATCTACTCATGAATAAAAATATACAGAGAACTTAGTCTTCCAGGCTGCCAAGGAATTTTATATTCTAGCTGCCAAGAGTTACTGTTTCAAATGATAGGTTCTACAGCATCCAATGGGAATTCTTGCTGCATAGACAGATATTGAACATAAAACTCAAAGTGTATCCTTTTGTTTCTTCCAAGCAGGAGATATACTGTACCTTTTTTCTTCCTCCTGTTTCTTTTTTTCTTCTTCCTCCCGTCTCCTTTTTTCTTCCTGCTCTCGTTTCTCTGCCAGCAGCTGTCTGTAAACTCTGCGCCCAATCTGACCTCTGAGTTGCTTCTGGAAAACTATGGCCGCTTTTTTCAGGTGCAAAAATCTCCTCCTCAGAAGGAATGCTCTGTAATTCTTCTGTATGATCACCACACAATAAAGGACCTTTCGGTATTGCTTTCTGAAGAGGAAAAGAAAAAAAACGAGAATAGCTGCTGAGGTAATGAGGCTCTGGGCTATTCAAATGAGCTCACAGCAAGGCCATAAGACAAAGGAAGAGGACCTAGTTTTTGAATGATACCCTCATTATGGAGACTGGAGAAAACAAGGAGGCCCCTCCGGCCAAAATAAAACAGAAGAAAAACAAAAGAATAATAACAAACAAAAACTAAAGTAAGAACCCTATCACTATCTTGGCTAAATAAACACACAACCTCTAATGTGGACTTTGAACAGTCTTGGCAGGAAGTTGGGTAAACAAGACCAAAAGGGATTTGAAATATTCTTCTGTTCATATGAAAAAAAAAAAAAATCACAGCAGGATAGCTTCGTACTTCAGAAAATGTAAGTGTGGGTTTTCACGTGGTATGACGTTCTCTGCACAATGGACAGAACGAAAATGCTAAACTAAAAGGAAGCTGCCTCGTTCTGCAAACAACTGGAGAATGGGCCTCTAACAGACAAATGTGAACAGTGGGTCTGCAGCAGCTTCAGTACGTGATGCATAGGAACTACCGTGTTTCCCCGAAAATAAGACAGGGCCTTATATTTATTTTTCCTCAAGAAGACGACCCTAGGGCTATTTTCACGAGCGCTCGTGCATCAGCCTGTACCTAGTTTGTCTGTGGTTTTACTACACATACGTTACGCAAAACCACCTGGCAATGGTGTTTATTTTCATAAATACGAGTTTAAGGTCGATCTTCTCTGTAGATATATTCACGTTGAATCTAAATCTTATCTTATCCTTCTCCCTATATACCATAGTAGCTGACGGGATTCACATCCGGGTCTGATCGACTTTCTTTTGCTCACGAGATCGGTTTGAATTTTCTGACCCTTGTAGGCAATCCGCCTCAGGCTCAAGCCTAAGGGTCATTTACAGCGTGCTGCCGGATGGTCGCGCAGGACTACTAGGCTTCTCTCATGGGGGCCAGATGAGTAATAGTGGGAGCTCTCGTCTTCCTCTTTACGTGCGTTCTTGTCTAATAGCTATTTTGTGAATGCATTTGAGCTAATGACTCAGGTATGCGGCTTGCAAAGTCCTAAACTCGTCTAGGTCTCACCCTCTGATTTCGGTTATACATTAGGTGGTTATTTTTTAGGAGTATCAGATGCTTGTATTGTGTTTACAATTCGAATTCATGAAAATGTTTTATCAGTGACATGGTCCTCGCTCCCGCTCTCCTCTCTCCGCCATTTGGTCTGTTATTCCTTCTACTCATTTTCACGTCGTAGTACTAACTGTAGGATAAAAGAGAAGATCAGATATCTTGTTTTCAAAATGAATGGCGCAATCTAGCCTTCAGCAGGCTGAATTGAGTCAAAGTATCTATTTCTGGAGACTTAAAAGCAATAGTCTTCTTTAAAATTATTCTTTCTGCTTTGGCCAAGGCCTGTAACCAATAACTGAAATAAAAGTCTTCCTATTTTGATATCAGGTTGGAGGCTCCTGCATTGCGTCACAGCTTACTTTGTTTGGGTTACTTTTAGTTAATAAGCAGAGCAATGGGAAACTGTGAGATGGCTCATTTTTATCTCAAAGGATCCGTCAAGGTTATTTCTCCTCTGGTGTCTTACATCTCTTAGCAACTCGTAATTAAGATTCTAGTCTACTGACACTCTGCATTCCGGTTATACTGCTCAAGCCTCAAAATATCCTTCTATCCTCCCTCTCACTCCACCCTCATGTATTCTAGCTGGTCGGTAAATGGGGGCTGACTCACTGATGGTGTAACTATGTACTTATATGCCTAAAGTAGGTCTCGCAGTCTAGAACCTGGGATCATTTAGGTTATAGGCAATATGCTTATAGGAGGCCGATTGGTCCCATGGAAGAAGGTAGTTACCTTGTTCAGTGAGGCGAAACGACCAGGCTACTTCTTGGTGGGGATACGATACGGGATATATATATATGGAAGTGTACCTAGCGCTTGTCTCTGGTTGTTTGTCAAAGATAGGCTAGTGTAATGCATGCATTTGTTCCCTCATTGCACTAGATGTAAGTGCTAGCCTGGTATAGATTTTTGAGTTTCTTCAGGTATCCACATTACTTCATGGGTGATACGTGCCAAGTGTACTTAAGGATGTGTGGGATGGAAGCCCTGAACCACACGAAATACGACCGCGATTGGCCGCGCGGGTGACCTCCTCCTCCCGCTGTTTCCAGTTTCTGCTCCAAGGATTCTCGAAGAAGACCTGCCCAGGAGGAGTCACATGTCGAAGCTAAGAACGTGGCTGGTAGAAGGAAGGCATTTCTGAGTCAGAGATATCTGTTTGGGGGCAAAAGGCTTTGTTCTCTCCTTAAGTCTTGCTCCAAACTCACATACAATCATGTTCTAGAATTAGTGTTGAGTAAATCTGTCGCCATATGCTAATGTAGCTGCAAAAATCGATAAAATACATTACAATAGCCAGGCACAGTGGCTCCGCCTTAATCTACCATTCTGGGCGAGCGAGGCGGTGATTGCCTGCCAGGTCAGATTCGAAACCAGCCTGAGCAAGACGAGACCCCGCTCTACTATAAATAGAAAAAATTAAATTGCGCCAAATAATATATATAGAAAAATTAGCCAGGCATGGTGGTATGGCTGTATCAACTACTTGGAGCTGAGGCAGAGGATCGCTTAGCCCAGGAGTTGAGTGCTGTGAGCTTAGCTGATGCCACCACTCACTCAGCCTGGGCAACAAAAGCAGACTCTGTCTCAAATAAAGTACATTACAATAGAAAACAAAAAAAGTATATAAAAAAAATGCCATTTTTTTATTTATAGATTCAAAATAAATGTGTATCAAAGTTTCTGAAACTTATCTCATTGTCTGAACAAATAAATACTCATCATTGGTTAGTCCCTTAATAAGAGATTCAGACAGAAAGAAGAGGAAGGAAGGGAGGGAGTCCAGGACATTTCTAAAATGTTATTTTGCTATCACTTGGAAACCCTCTCTTCCTGCCCGCTAAGTGAGCACCATCAGAGAATTCTGGATTCAACAACTTAAAAGTACCTAAATCTATGTAAATGGTACATGCGTAATCTCTGAAAACTGAGTTTGAAATGAGAACTGAACTATTTCAGCCGCATCTTGGTCCAGCTGTGATAAGCACACCAGAACTGGGACTAAACCAATTGCAGCTGTTTGCTTGCCTGTCTCTGGGAAGGGGCACCCCAATCTTATGCCTGTCAAATAATGTAAGTATGTCTGATAATTGGCACTTAGTATCAGAATTCCCAGATTTTGAAAATATGAAGACCCTCCCTTAATCAAGGTAGCTTTTAGGCCAGGCGAGGTGGCTCACGCCTGTAATCCTAGCACTCTGGGAGGCCAAGGCGGGCGGATTGCTCGAGGTCAGGAGTTAGAAACCAGTCTGAGCAAGAGTGAGACCCTACTATAAATAGAAAGAAATTAATTGGACAACTAATATATATATATATATAAAAAAATCAGCCAAGCATGGTGGCACATGCTGTAGTCCCAGCTACTCGGGAGGGCTGAGGCCAGTAGGATTGCTTGAGTCCAGAGTTTGACGGTTGCTGTGAGCTAGGCTGACGCCACGGCACTCACTCTAGCCTGGGCAACAAAGCGAGACTCTGTCTCAAAAAAAAAAAAAAGGTAGCTTTTAATTCTGCCATTTCAGATTTAATACATGCATAAGAAGTTTTGAATTATTCCCTAAAAAAAATAGTGACCAATATTTTTGTGCTTTTTTGTTAACAGCATAGAGGCATTTTGGTGCCTCCACAATTTTTTACTTTATGCTCCCGTGAGCTATTGGTGCCTAAGATGGTGCACTATGTTACATTTTTCCAAACTCTCTGCTCTGTCTCCTCCATGACATTGGGCAAAAAAGCAAAAAGAGAGTCCTACCACCTTGTGACTCACAGAAGCCACACCTCTTCCTGCTTTGGGTAAAACTCTACTACAAATAATTCTGCTGGGAAAGCTTTTCATACAATCCTCTCCCTATAATTGCAATTAATATGTTCTGTTGATACAAGTAAAAAGCCTGCTGGGCGTGATAATGATTAAAGATGGACAGAAATAGGAATTCTCTGTATTTATCATAACCGGGTATCAAAAGCAGTTTTCAAAGACTGGACTTTAAAGAAATATGTAAGCCTCTCTTTGAGATGATTTTTTGGTATTACATATTTTACTCTAATGCTTTTTGCTCTTGTGAGTGTTTAAAAGGAAAAGAAATAAAGTCAACCTTGGGGAAGAGTTGTGGAGGTGACGCAAGGCGGCAAGAGTGTCGATTCCCATGAGCGACACACGTACGAGGTGGACAATAGAGACCTTTATGAAGGAGGCCATGTGTTCTCTACCAGCACAAGTCAAAAGAGGGTCTTGGTTGGAATCAGAATCACAGAAATACTTGCTTTAGTGTAAGCTCTAATTTACAAGATAGCTCTTCTGCTCTGCCTGTTACGTCATATTCCACACCTTTATCTACAGTCTCCTTCACAGGGCAAACAAGGGGAGAAAAATGCTCTTAGAGATCTGGCCTGGGTTAATTAAGAACATCCATCCTGACCTGGGTTCATTAAGAACATCCACCCTGCATTTGTGCGACAACACGTGGACGGTGTTGCAGTGAGTCCTTGTGTCATGTCACCACGTGCCCAGGACTCGGCCAAGACTGAGTCAGTGTGACCCAGCAGCTGGAAGGAGGCACGTTGAGCAACTTAGGTAAGGGCAGGGCCCACTAGGAGCTGCTTGGCTGAACTTAACTCGATATCCAACCGGAACAATTTTATGTGACTCTTCTTCACCTTCATCTTAGACGGCGTAACAGCCTATGGACTATTCCAGCACTCTGTCCTTATAAACATATTAACCCTTTGCACTTGTTTGCTTTTTTCTCAATTCCTTTATTCTACTCGGGATTTAATTTTTTAAACACCCCGGATTTTACGAAGCGCGGCAGAATAGAAAACTGGAGTTACTTTTCATACAAACTTATTTGGATTTTTTTATATTTCAAATTATTGATGCATTCAAAGAGTAATTTTAATCTCTATAATTTTTGCTAACCGTGTCGAGTCACACTCGACATCCGAGTGCAAAGGGTTAATACTGCCCACAGGCCTTACTGCCATAGAATGTAGGAGGTCTGGCGACGCAGTCCTGAGGGTCAGAAAAGTGAAAGTCTCGAGTCTTGAGGAGTCCCTGAGGCCGAGGGAAAAGTCAAAACCAGGGAAGGAGAAGGGAGCGGCTGCCCACCTCAGCCACCCTAAATGCAACGTCTCAGTGGGGAATGACATCACAATCTCGGGCACAGGCTGTTCCCCTTCTCTAGAAATGCTTCCCAGTCCTCCAGGTACGAATTCTTGCCTTGCAAGGACTATGTAGGTCTGTATCATCCAGCCAATTAGGACCTGCAGCCATGTTTAATTTGCTGCCTTTGACAGGGGCCACATTTCCCTTGGTTGTGTAAATGCCACGGAAATTCCTTAGCCAGAAGACCCGGAAGTTTGTGAGGGGTTAAAGGCCTTAAATGTAAAGACCTTCGGGTGGCAAGCACACTGAAACAAATGCTAGCAAATAATTAAGTGGAATGTTGGTCAAGGTCAAAGCAATCTAGAGGACACAGTTCAAATGCTTTAATGTTTGCATTTACTTCCCAATGTTCCTGGGACTGATAAGCTTCCATCCAACTTCTGCTTTCAACTTTTCACCAGTTAAAACTTAACTCCTCTTTAAAGATTTCCTCTTCCTGAATACTTCCCTGATCCTTTCAAATCCACAGGGATTTCTCTTCTGGGGAAGCTGTCTCCTTACTCCTTAAAGAGATGGTGCTGTATGATTTAGCTGTCTTATCTTCCAGCAACACGGTAAGCCAGGGGTAACACCCATATCTGCATCCTCTGTGCTGGGAATGGAGCTGGATGGGTACTTGGAGCTCAGAGAAGAGACTGTTAATGTCCGGGGTGTGTCATAACGATCTTTGATGTTACTCCACTGTGCAAGGCAGTGAGATAGGAGGGGGGTTATGAGCTTATAGAGAATGCAATTTGTTTTTGATTTTAAAAAAATCAGAGCAGACTATATTGCACCGGCAAGAGCTCTACTTGAGCCATTTCTTTAGAACCTTTTCCTTGAGTGAATAAATATACAACAAACATCCTTGCGTTACCCCTTATGGTTTTTCAGCACTTAACAGATATTGACTGCACTCCTACTGTGAGCACTGTGTAGAACGAACAATTAACTCTATGTTCCCCACTGGGTAACTACAGAGAAGTCGACAGCAAGACAGAATGACAGCATATGAGGTGTTGCAACAAGACTAAGAGGAAGATGGCCTGGGATGACAGAGGGGGCTTAACCCAATTTGGGGGTGCACTGAAGAATGTCAAAAAAGGATTCCTGCCAGGTGCAGGTGGCTCACACCTGTAATCCTAGCACTCTGGGAGGCTGAGGTGGGAGGATTGCTTTAGCTCAGGAGTTCTAGACCAGCCTAAGCAAGAGTGAGATGCCATCTCTACTAAAAATAGAAAAATTAGCTGGGCGTGGTAGTGTGCACCTGTATCCCAGCTAATCAGGGGGCAGAGGCAGGAGAATCGCCTGAGCCCAGGGTTTGAGGCTGCAACGAGCTATGATGATGCCACTGCATTCTACTCATGCAACAGAGAAGCTGTCTCAAAAGAAAAAAAAAAAAATAGGATTCCTGTCCAAGTCTGTGTCTAACCCAAGACCTGAATGATGAGTTGGCTCAGGCAGGAGTGGAGAGTAGATCCCAGGAGAGCCCTATCAACCTGGGACGGGTACACCCTCAGCTGACCCCCAGTGCCTTCTGCCCTTGTTCAATCCTCCTGAGTGTGGGTGGAACCTGTGACTTGCTTTTAGCCAATAGAATATGGCAAAGGCGATGTGATGTCACTTCTGTGATTACATTATATTAAATGAGACTCTGTCTGTCTTGGACTGGAGCAGGAGATTCTCCTGCTGGCCTTGAAGAAGTGGCCTGCTGTGATGTGAGGTGGCTACGCACAAGCAACTTAGGCAGCCTCTAGGAGCTGCAAGTGGGCCCTGGACGACAACCAGAAAGAAAATGGGGCCTCAGCCCTGCAAACACAAGGAACTAAATTCTGCCCACAACAAGTGAGCTTGAAAGAGCACCCTGAGCTCCCGAAAGAATGAAGCACCAAGATACAGAAACTGAAGGCTCATGAGACCCTGGTGAGAGGACCCGGCTCTGACCCTCAAATACAGTGAGATTATAAATGTGTGTTGTTAGAGCCACAAAGTTTGCAGTAACACTTTACATGGCAATAGAGAGCCAATGCAGTGCGTCTGCATGCCACCTCTACCCTGTGAAATGTTTGCATCTTAAATCCCTTGGCAGCTCAACGTATGCTCTAGATCCTCATGCCTTTCCCTTGCTGAGTGCTCGTGGGTGATGTCTAAGTACACGTCGTCCACCTCATGTTAGTCACACTGCAAGATACAGGTTTCTCTCTCTCTTCCTCCTGCCTTCCTGCTTTTCCTGTCTCCTTCTCTCTCTCTCTTAAACAAAGAAACTCCTTGGTTAAAAACAACATACTGTAAATGAAAACTTTAAAATACTTCTCAGACTTCGCATTACTACACGTGGGGCCCCAAGGATCAGCTCTTGTTTTTCCGGACACAGGTGTACTCAAAGGCCAAGCCCAGCTGCCTGCATTTCTGTGTCCAGAGTCACATTTCTGTCCTTCCCATGTGATAAGTTATTAGAGGTGGCTGGGGAGCAAGAGGGAAAAGCCAAATGAAATTTTTGGTAGTTCCCTGATGTAGGGAGAAGAGGTCACACAACTAATTTTATGGCTAATGTTTGGTGTTCCGGCCAGATTGCCCACTACCCAGCCCCCATCTGGAATACAGGGGGGTTAGGGGCTGCCGTCACTACAGCATGTTCAAAAGTGGACTTTACTTCTCACGTTCTGGACTGAGTTTCTGCAACCTCTAGGATTTTAGACTGTCTGCTGGTCTCTCACTCAACAGTTGCTGTGGTTGCAGGGACAACAGCCAGCATTTGAATTACAGAACGTTAGAAGGGTCTGGGTTTTCCCTTCATAGACCTAGGGGGCTGCCTAGTACTTGCACGACACTGAGTCACTCATCTGTTAACACTTGTTGACTGCCCGAACACACATACACACACACACACACACACACTCACACACACCCCAATTAGGATGAGACGTTTCAATGTGTTCCCTAATGCAACAGAGTCCCCGACAAGTCAAGGACTTCAAATAAAACAGTAACCGGCACACAAAAGGTTCGAACCTTGGTCTTCCCCAGCTGCCACTCGCTGTTGGAGGCATCGTAGAGCTGCAGCAGGGCCGTGCACTTCCCCCGGACGTCCTCGGGCAGGGCCAGGTTCCGCATCAGCACTTTATACCTGTGGCACAAAAACACACCAGTGTCACCTTCTGCTACGGTTCCATCTTCTCCAATCCCTTTGAAAAGAGAAAGGATCCATTCAGCTCCCACTTGCCTTTTGTAAAAATCCTGAAAGGGTCTTCGGACCGCATACCCAGCTTTGCGGATTCTCACGGTCTCCAGCATCCCTGAGTACCGCAGCTGGTTTAGCACGACTGCCTGGTCAAACTGGTCTGGCATCTAAACCGTGCAGAAAAGGTGGGACACAAATAAGATGGAATTAGATACCGAGAGTTAATAAGGCCACCCCCACCACTGCTTTAGACCCCCTGGACACGTACAAGAAATCTGAATCTATACAAAAATACAGAACAGAAACTGAATTCCCGTGGACCCATCACCTCCATCCAACACCATCACCCATGGCAACACTTTCCCATCCATGCACCTAACTCACTCCTTCCCCTTATATATATATATTTTTTGTTGTTGTTGTTTGTTTGTTTGTTTTGAGACAGAGTCACTCTTTGTTGCCCAGCCTAGAGTGAATGCTGTGGTGTCAGCCTAGCTCACAGCAACCTCAAACTCCTGGGCTCAAGCCATCCTCCTGCCTCACCCTCCTGAGTAGTTGGAACTACAGGCATGTGCCACCATGCCCGGCTAATTTTTTTCTATATATATATTAGTTGGCCAATTAATTTCTTTCTATTTATAGTAGAGATGGGGCTCTCGCTCTTGCTCAGGCTGGTTTCGAACTCCTGACCTCGAGCAATCCGCCCGCCTCGGCCTCCCGGAGTGCTAGGATTACAGGCGTGAGCCACCGTGCCCGGCCCCCCTTATATTTTTTGAAGAAAGCCCCAGCCATCACATCCTCTCATCTGTAAATATTTTAGTATATGTCCTATTTTAATATAACCACGCCATTACCATATCTTAAAAGATACCAATAATTCCTTCATATTAATATCTGTGTTCAAACTTCCACCTTACAAATATCATAAATGTATCACCGTCTTTAAATAGATTTTTCCAAATAATCTAAAGTGTCATATAAATGTCACTTTATTTTACTTTTTAAGCTTCACTTTAAAGGCATTTTTTAGCTAAAGAATACAGTGCTCCATTGAGGGGTGGAAGGGCACACACACACACACATATACTCACACACACTCACACACAGAAGAATGGAGAATGGGGGTAACAGGGCTAGCCCCGGTGGAGAAAAGAGACAAAAATGAAGAATTTAAATTTGCTCAATTTTTAGTCAAATATCCCATTTATTGTGAGTTTCATACTATGATCACTAAATAAAGTGAGCACAAGAACATACACATTGAAGACAGAGAAAATCGAACCAAGACTTAACGTTCTGAAATGTATTCTCTATCTACTCAGTGCTCAAACAAAGTGGCATTTGTGCCAGGACAAAAGTTTTTCAGGGCAAAGCAAAAAAGTGGGCCATTTCCCATTTACGGCTTTTTGGATGGTGACTTGTTATTTTAATCCACTCTTTGATTGATCTGTATTTTGTTATCCTACACAACTGTGAATAAAATAACTGAAAAACAGTGCCAAAGGATGTCACTGTTAAAAAGTACAAAAAAATGCAAAGTGGCTTAATTTGTGACCCTTAAAAATGCAGTCAGTCATTAACACAAAATTAGGCTTAAAGCCATGTCACTCTGCCCACTTTCAACATTGGCAAAAAATAAATTTAAAGAATGCTTTGCAAATCTCCCTCACAACTTTTGATGGAATTGCTGCCATCAGCTCTAGCAGGCTGACTTCTCTCATATTTAATTTCTTCTACAAACACTGTGGTCAAATTGTCTTTACTTAGCAGTATTCTAACAGAGTGCAGCCAACAAAGTAGGGCAAACATCCAAAGAACTGTGGCTCTCTGGTTTTTAAGTCTTGAGCATTTAAACTATCCTTAGAAAAGAAAAGCATAAAAACATGAAAACAAAATCACCCTTGGTGACTCTTACACTGTATCTCTGGATTAAAAAATAGGGATGGGTAACTGTTCTGAAAGTATTTGGTTACAATGCTTCTGTTATATTTATTTGCAAATATAATCTGACCAGTAGCAATCTACGAAGACTAGTGTAGAGCTAATATAAAACGAACACCGAATAAAGTATCAGATTTATTCAACTTTGTTAAATTCATAATATCAGAGAAACCCTCTAAATTTAATATTTAATCATTTGATGCTCAAATACTTTAATCTACATATCTCCATCTCCAAAGCTTTCGCTGTTCCTCACCCACTCTTTTTATTCCTCGTTTCTTTTCTTCCAGTGTCTATTTAACAGAATCTGCACGATCCCTTAGCCTGACACTTGAGTTCTTAAAACATTCTAAAAGATATTACCAAAAGGGCCTCCTCATCCAAAAAGTTCAGCCACACTCACCATCTTCCCGTCTCTCTGAGGAACATTCCACCTTCAGTTTGGCTCTCGGGCCAAAATTCATATGGAAAACAACTGCCACACTGACCTTTTCCCCACAGCTAAAGACGTGGAACAATAATGAACACCATTCCTGTGCTTTAAAAAGTGCCCGGTCACCATGACAACTCCTTCCATTCTCGGGCTAATTAGTGTGGTGTGGTTGTAGGATTTGATACAGCCCAGGGAGGGGAAGGAGAGAGCCACTGGGAGAGGCCATGAGTTCCAGGCTCCCATTGCGATTGTATGTCTGCCCCTTCCCAGTAATTTAACCAGGGGAAGGGGATCTATAGGCTGATTGTTGCCCTGGGCAACACCCCACCCACCCACCCCCACCATCACGGGGGTGGGGGAGGACGGACCTAGATTTCCATTGGTGGTTCTCTTTTCAGTTGCAATTTACTTTTCGGGTGAATTGAACGTTTAAAGATGACACAGCTGGAGGTTGGACAAGGAATGACTTAAAGGCATTTTGCTTTTCAAAACTTCGCTAAGGCACTCCAGTCTTGACTGATAACTAGTTTTCCAGAACTCCAATTCCCTCCAACAAAGACTGCCTGCGGTGTGCTAACAGTGAAGTTTTGATGGCAACAAACTAGTTAGAGTTAGATTCTGGAAAGAGCAGCCTTAACCCCGGGCAGTTATAGTCAATGGAAACCTGAGCTTGATCAATTTACTGAATATTTATTAAATACCTGCTACATGTAAGGTTTCACGATCCATGCTCAGGGAAAGATTTAAAAAAGCTTGGGGCCAGATGTTGTTTCCAAAGACCCTGAAGTTTAGGAGGGTGACAGGTACACCAAACATCACTATTTATATGGTAGAAAGCCTAATATTAAACCACATTCAAGATTAAGTTCCTTGAGAACACAGGAGAGAGAAAAATACTGAGGGAGATGGGAACAGCAAGGATTCAGACCAGAGCTTGGACTCTTAAAATGCTGGAAAGAAGAGACATCCCATGCAGAGAAAAAGCAGGAGGAAAGCCATGAGGTGGAAAAAGAACCTGGCAGGTTCAGTCCTCAAGCAGGGACAGAACAGGGGGAGGGGAACCTGGGCAGAAGACAGACACAGTGCTTGTTTGATGGTCTTTGTGTTCAGAGAAAGAGGCTTGCAGCAGGAGATGCACAAGCTTAAATGAGGAGCCCCTTGGTGGCAAGTGCCAACACTGAAAACAAGACCATGCCCAGAGGGACGGCCGAGTATATTCCAGTACCACGCCGTGAAGTATTATGCAGCCATTAAAAAATAAGACCAAACCGAAGACACATCAGTTGACTCTGGGACCTTTCATAAAGTATTACTCAGTGAGAAAAGCAAGCTACAGAAAAGTATGTACACCAATCTCATTTTAATTAAAAAAAAAAAAAAAAAGATCTCCCTACAAAAAGCCCTGCTCTATCTATGTATATGTGTATGAATATAAAGTCATGTGCCACATAATGACATTTCCAATCAACAATGGATTACAAATAGGACAGTGGTCCTATATGATTAAAATACCATGTTTTTACTACACCTTTTCTATGTTTAGATTCACAGACACTTACCACGGAGTTACAATTGCCCACAGTATTGTACAGTTACGTGTTGTACAGGTGTATAGCCTAGGAGCGCCATGTAGCCCAGGTGTGTAGCAGGCGATCCCACCTAGGTTTGTGTAAGTAAACCCTGGGATGTTCGCATGACAACAAAGAGAACATGGGAGAACATACAGGCTAGGTTGTCACTGAGTAGGGGGGACACTGTTTTGGGTGATGGGGGGGGGAGGAAGAGCCAGTTCAGAAGAAAGGGAAAAAAATCAGATTGCACTAAAAGAAGGAGGTAGTCACATACATAACATGAAAATGTCTGTAGGACTATATATCTTTGAAGACATATAAAAATAATATTTTTATAAGGGGGAAAAAATCAGACACAGAATGGCTTCTGGAGGTCCTGCAGGGAGAAGAGACAAGAGGCTGCTGTCTGTGAGGGTGCTTGAAAGTGGAGACCACCCCAAGCCATCAACTGGTGCATGGAGAAAACACATGTGGATATATCCACACCGTGGAATGTTATTTGGCCATAAAAAGCAATGAAGTCCTGATACCTGCTACAACTTGGATAAGCCGTGACATCATCGTGCTGAGTGAAAGAAGCAGTCACAGTCACAAAAGACTACATGCCACGTGATTCCACTCATATACACAACGCCTGGAATACAGAAGTCTACGGAAACAGTAGATTCTGGTGGTTGCTTCGGGCTGCTAGAGAAGGTGGGGATACAGGGCCTGGGTGGCTAAAGGGTGAAGGGGTTTCTTTTTGAGGTGATGAAAATGTTCTAGAATTGACTATGGTAATGGTTACACAAATCTGTGAATATTAAAAAACCCCACTGAATGGTATACATATTTTATTTTATTTACTTATTTATTATTATTATTTTTTTGAGACAGAGTCTCCCTTTGCTGCCCAGGCTAGAGTGAGTGCCGTGGCATCAGCTTATCCCACAGCAACCTCAATCTCCTGGGCTCAAGTGATCGTCCTACCTCAGCCTCCTGAGTAGCTGGGACTACAGGCACGCGCCACCATGCCCGGCTAATTTTTTTATATATATATATTTTTAGTTGGTTAATTAATTTCTTTCTATTTTTAGTAGAGACGGGGTCTCGCTCTTGCTCAGGCTGATTTCGAACTCCTGACCTCGAGCAATCCACCTGCCTCAGCCTCCCAGAGTGCCAGGATTACAGGCGTGAGCCACCACGCCCGGCCGGTATACATATTTTAAACAAGTCAATTATG